CCCCACCCCTTTTTTTTTCATTTTTTGACACACCTCAAAAATTTTTTCTTTTTAAAAAATTCTCCCGTAATCCATTATTAATTAAATTTTTTATATCTCTTTAATTTTCACCATTTCCTTTATTTATGGTTTAATCAATTAATCAATCAATAACTAAATAATAATTAAATAAATAAAAAAACTTATTTTTTTTTTTTTTAAAAAAAAAAAAAATTTTAATTAATTAGGATTCCCCAAAAAAAAAAAAAAATCGGAAAAACAAAAAAATTTTTTAACCCACTTTTTTTTGTTTAAACCATATTCCCTTTATGTTAATAAATAAGGGGGAAATTTAAAAAAAAAAAACAATTTAATTTAATTCTTCAACACATCATTGTTACGATTATTTTAGTTAATTTAAAAAATAAAATTATAAAAAAAAAAAAAAAAAAAAAAAAAAAAAAAAAAAAAAATTTAAAAAAGAAAAATAAATAAAATTTTCATTTTTTTTTGTTTTTTTTTACACATAATTGTCGTTTATTGTGTTTTTATTTTATTTAATTAGATTTTTTAAAAATATTAATATAATAAAAAGAAATATATAATTAATAATATATACAATAAATAAAGCTAATAATATAGTTAATAAATATAGAGTAAATTAATATAATAAATAATTAAATAAATAATTTAATACTTGTAAAATATAATAAAATATAAAGAATGTCAATTTCAGGTGTTGTTAGATTAGGAAAACCTTCAAAAAAGGCTATTTTTTCAATGGTAGGATTTCTTTTATAAAAATTTCTTTTTTTTTTTAAAAAAAAAAAAGTCATCAAGAATTTTATTGCATTATTACTTTTTATAAAATATTAATATTCTTAAACTTATACAGACCGATTCAGCTATTAAGAGAGTTAAAGAAATTATGAAAGATAATAAAATAGATAATTGTATTGGATTAAGATTAGGTGTTAAACAAAGAGGGTGTTCAGGAATGTCATATACATTAGATTTTGCAACTACAAAAAACAAATTTGATGAAACTGTTGTCGCAGATAAAGGTATAGTTTTAGAATTTATATAGGTATAGGTAGTTTTCAAATTAAGATCATCAATAACTAATATAAATTACTTTAGATATAAATATTATAGTAGATTCCAAAGCATTACTATCAGTTATAGGTACAGAGATGGATTATATAGAGGAACCAATTAAAAAAGAATTTATTTTTATTAATCCAAATGCAACCAATACATGTGGATGTGGAGAGTCATTTTCAACTAAAGATTTTTCAATCCCTGACCTAAATTTATCAAAAAATTGACATTATTTAAATAAAGTTTTAGCAAAAAAAGTTACTATTATTAAAAAAAATTTGAAAAAAAGTGTATTATATTAAATAAAAAGTTATCGAGGATTTTTATTTTCCTTTTATTGTTTTATAATTGGGTATTTGTAAAATTTTTTGAAGGAATATCAAATAGTATTTTTAAAAGTGTTTTTTGTGAAGCTGATTCTGATGGTGGTTGTAAAGTACCACTTGATCCTAATGGGGTGTTATCGTTTTCATCTTTTGGTGTGGTCGATGCTATATTACTACTACTATTATTATTATTATTTAAAGTTAATGATTTTGTTGAAAACTCTAAGCAAATGGTAAACTAGTGAATTATTAAAGTATTAGTAAAAATTATATTTGTAAAGTCATTGAAATAAATACTTACTTTAATGTTTTCAAATTTAGAATTGAATTTCTTTTCATTTATAGTGTTTTCGTCAGTATTTAATAGTAATTGATCTGGTAAGTGAATAATTAAATGTGTAACTTCGTCTTGACCATTATTGTCAAAAACTGAATTTTCAACACCAACTTTACCAATAAAACGCAATTTTAATCTATTGTCTTTTCTATCTATGAAATATCTGGCATCTTCTAAATTCTTTAGTTGCTGAATGTGAGCTTCTTTTTCCATATCGTCGGTTTCGTCTAAAAGACCACCAATAAAAGTTTCATTTTGATAGAGATCGACCAATTGAGCATTATCATCTAATGAAATCATTGAACCTTTAATTTCCATTGGGAAGTTCATAAAGAGATGGGAGTGTAATGGATTGTTGAATACTAAAAACATTTCGAATAAGTCGTTGTCGATCCAATTAATCTTTGAAATGTGTATACGTGGTAAATAAGAGTAGGCGAAGTGTTGTCTTTTGAATTCAGTTTTTCCTGGGTTAACATCTGGTTTGATTAATAAACGATCACATCTTTTACATCTCTTTGATCTACGAGTTAATAGTGGTCTATGATGTGGTTCTAATTTCTTTAAAGATTTTGATTGAGTTGGAATTTGGTGGAGTCTTTGGGCTAATGTTGAGATTTCATCAGCATCCTCTATTTTGTTTAATTGATCTAAATCTAAATCGTCATCATATTGATCTTTTGTTTCTGCATCATCAAATAGGGTATTGTTTTCATTGGTTGGTAAAGTTGATTCTATTTTATTAAATATTCTCGATTGAACTCTATCCTGTTGCATTTTATCCGAATCTTCGGTTGTAATAGGTGTAAGACCTTTTTTAATGTTTGCATTTGTTAATAATGATGAGCCTGGTGTAATCTTTGGGAGTAGGTTATTATCTGGCAATGGTTCAGGTACTGAGGAGTTAATCCATCGTTGTTCATCACTCTTTAAAAAGTTCTTTCTTTGGCTATGTTTTTGATGTTTCGATTGCTGACCAAGGAACTGCTTCATTGCCTGTGCTATTTTAATTCTTGTAAGAGTTTTCTTATCTTTTAGTGATGATAGCTCTGCTGATTCTTTATTGACAATTTCTAAAACTTTATTTAACTGTATATATGCTTCTGATTCTTCATTCTTTGCTTTAATACTGTGGGAGTCGAATCTAAATTCTTTTTCACCAGAGTTGATTGAGTTCCATTTACAAAATGTGCAATTTAAAAAGAATGTTTCTACACCATTTGCGTTTGTGCTTGCTGAATAAGTAAGTACATTGAAGCACATTGGACATTCAAAGCATTTCTTGCATCTATTTCCATTTAGTGATGCCTCTGCTGATGATATATGTTCTAAACAATTTGGGCAATAATAGCAATCTATATCCTCTGTAATACAAAATTTGCAATTGGTCTTTAAACAACTGATACAATAATATAACTCTGTCAAGTGATATGATTTGCCACAATTACAACTATATTTTATAATATCATGATTTGTTAAATTCTTATTAAATTGATATGTATTTTCCAATCTTTGCGAATACATTATGAATAATCTTATTAATATAAATTGTAAAGTTCAATAGTAGATCAGTTATATAGATTTTATTATTATAATTATTTTATTAAAAGATTTCAGTTATACGTTCAATTTATAATTAAAATTTTTTTTTTTTTTTTTTAATTTTTTTTAAAAAAAAAACTTTTTTTTATTTTTTATTTTTTTTTTTTTATTTTTTTTTTTCAAATTAATTTTTTTTTCTTTTTTCTTTCATTTATATTTATTTTATTTATTCATATATATTTAGTGTGTGTGTATATATGAATAAAGTATTATAATAATAACAAAAAATTATAAAAAATAAAATAAAAATAATAAAAATAATCATTGTAACATTAAATAAACACAAAAAAAAGAAAATAATAAAAAAGAGGGAAATCTTAAGATCGGTGTGTGAAGTGTTATAGTATATTTCATACCACACCATCCCATACATATAACAATTTAAACAAAAAACATATTTATTTATTTATTTTCATTTTTATTATATATATTTATCTATATATATAAGGAAAAGAAAAACACATACTATCTATATCTTAATTTAATGGTAAGTTTTATTTAATATGGGTTTTTAGATATATACATTTGTTTTCCATTATTTCTTTTTTAAAAATTTTATTTTTTTTTATTTTTTAATATATTTTTTTGTTTCTCTTTTGTAAGTATCACCAGAAACAAAACTAAATCAATCATTCATGATTACCAAATATATAATATCATTAATATAATATTATTGTGTGGTGGTGGTTTTGTTTTTTTAATTAGATATTTGATATAATAAAAAATTAAAGAGAGAAAATTTTTTTAATTATTTTTTAATTTTTTTTAAAATTTTTTTTATTTTTTTTTTTTTTATTTTTTTTTTTTTTTTTTAATTTTTTAATTTTTTTTCAACCTCCTTATTATTGTCCATTATTTTTAAAAATATACACATAAAAACTAGATTATATATACTAATAACCTTATTAAATAGTTTTAAATAGAAAAATTTAGAAAAGAAAAGAGAAAAGGAGATAGAAATTTTAATTTTTTTTTTTTTTTTTTTTAAAAAAAAAGAAATTTAAATATTTTAGTTTATATATAAAGGAATAAAAGATCATTTAAAAAAATAATATATATTTAGCTATATATATATATATATATATAAAAGATGAAGGAAGAGAAAAAAAGTCGAAATGGAGAGTATGTTGTTGGTACAAATTTTAGATATGGTCAGGTAGTTTATGGAAGAATGCAGGATATCCCCAATGGCCAGCCAGAGTCCATGATCCATCGAAATCAATTTCATCAGCCGTTAGAAAAGCACAACCTAAAAATAGTCCTATAATTCTGCTTCATTTTTTTTCAAGTAATGATTAGTAAGTATATTGGCATTATAAAAAAAAAAATAAAAAAAAATCTTTAATATTAATTTATTTTTAAAATTAGTGCATGGTTAACTCCAGATTCTGTTACAGATTTTTTATCACATCCACAAATGAAAAACAAACCAAAAAGCAAACAATGGCAAAAGGCATATAAAGCTGCATTAAGATATATTAAAAATGGAAACAAAGACGTTACATCATCAGAGAGCGAATCAGAAAGTGAATCGGATGACTATTCAGATGACTCAAATGTAGAAAGTGATTCAAGTAGTGAGTCAGAAAATGAAAAAGTTTCAACGCCTAAAAAATCATCATTAGATTCTAAAAATAGTATTGCCAAAAAGAAATCAACCAACAGTAGCAGTAGCAGTGGTAATGGCAGTTCAAAATCGGATTCTAGTAAAAAATCAAAATCGAAATCAAGTAATGGCTCAGGCAGCAGTAGTAGTGGCAGCAGTAGCAGTAATAGCAGCAGTAGCAAGCAAAAGGGTAAATCAACAGATTCAAAAAGTTCTAAAAGTAGTAAAAAGGATTCATCCTCATCATCTTCATCGTCTTCAAAAAAGAAAGCCAGCAGTAACGGAAAAAGAAAGAGTAGAGTTGTCAGTGATAGCGAAAGTAGTGATAGTGATATTGCCACAAGTGATTCTGATTTAAGTGATTCTAGCTTTAGTAGTAAAAGCGAAGACGAAGTTAAAGAAAAAAAGCATAAAAGATTAAAGAAAATTGAAGAACCAGTCACACCAAAAGCAAAAAAAGAAAAAGAAAAGGAAAAAGAGAAAGAAAAAGAGAAAGAAAAGTTAAATGGCACAACAGTTAAAAAAGAAACAAATTCTACAAAATCTACAAGTACATCTAGCTCAGCATCATCCACTACTTTATCATCCAGCTTAAAAAATTCAAATGAAAATATAGGTTTTACAGGTTCTTCCAATAGTAAAAAGCCAACATCAGTTCCATCATCCCCACCACTTAGATCTCCAATTACAACCACTACCACCACTACAACCACAACACTTTTATCATCTCCACCATCATCACAAGCTAACAAGACTAAACTTTCAAATAGTGGCACAAATAAGATACCGACATCAACTAGCACTAGCACAACAACAACAACCAATGATTCATTTTCAATTGATGATAAGCCATATTATAAAGATCCACCAATTTTTTCAACTACTCCTATCAAATCTAATGGTGGTACCACTAAATTAAATAGAGTCTCATCAGAACCATCACCATGGTCTATTGACACATCAGATATCAGACAACAAAACTCTCCACCAGTTCAAACTCATCTTTCATCTATAGGCACAAGCAGCACTAATACCAGTAGCATTTATGAAAATTACGCAAACAAGTATGCAGGCATAAGTGATCCCTACGCTACAGGTTTATACACAAATAGCTCGACAAGATTTGTAGATGATTATTATGCTTCATCATTATATGGTGGAAAGGTAGACCCTCTTTTATCATCAAGCTCAACTACAACAACATCAACAACTAGCACTACACCTTTACCAAAATCCTACTATCATCCATATGGAATGATAGATGTACAGAAACCACCACCTTATGGTAATTATAAAACTTCAACACCAATTTCATTATCAACTACAACTACAACTTCATCAACATCAACACCACACCAACCACCAAATTCAAATAGTTCAACCCACATGTACAGTCCACAGCCACATTCATCCGGTGAAATACTGGATTCAAGAATATCACCACCAAAACATCACCATTTAGATTCTTACTACGATCACGATGATTATAGAAATGATAGAAGATATGGAAGACCAGCCCCACCTTATAGTAGCAGAGATCATTTAGACAGAAGGGGTGACATCGACCCATATCACAAATCAAGACCTCCACCATTACCAGTTGGCAGGAGAGATGATTATCCACCAATTCCACAATCACATATAAGTCGTAGTTTAGAATACGAAAGAGATTATAGAGATCGTCCACCTTCTTCACTCCCACCATCATCATCTACCCAGCCTATAGGAGGAGGTTTTAGAAATGACCCATACTATGACAGAAATAGATCAAGACCACCACCATACAGAGATAGTCGTGAAGTAAGACCACCATATAGAGGTGCCGATCGTACCGATAGAATGCTCGATCGTGAAAGAGACTGGGATCGTAATGACAGAATTCTCGATCGTGAAAGAGATTGGGACCGTAGTGATTCAAGATTACACGACTATAGAGACAGAGATATAAGGGACAGCAGGGATTATAGGTCAGATTTTAGAGATAGAGATATGTGGCAAGATAGGGAAAGAGAGAGAGATAGAATGCACATCGACCGTGATAGAGATAGAATAGGTGATCGTGATAGAGACATATGGCAGGAAAGAGAAAGAGATAGAATACACATCGACCGTGATAGAGAAAGAATGGGTGATCGCGATAGAATTCTTGATCGTGATAGAATTATTGACCGTGATCGTGATAGAATTCTTGACCGTGATCGTGATAGATTTATAGACCGCGACCGTGATAGATTTTTAGATAGAGGAATTGATAGAGATACAAGAGGTAGTAATGACAACAGAGCATCATCTTCAAATTCATTGCCACCATCAAACCCAAATGGTTCAAATCCAAATTCAAACTTAAACGCAAACTCGACTCCAAGTTCTTCGATACCAACACCACCAAATACAACCACATTAAATTCATCATCAATAACCTCAATAACCTCATCATCAACAACTACAACATCCAATACAACAAACAATGATATTTTACCATCCTCAAATATATTAAGTGCTCCTATTACTCCCAGTAAACGAGAGAGTAAATGGGATATCGACCGAAAATAATATAATAAAATAATAATAATAATAATTACAATAACAAGAGATAATAACAATAATAAACAGATCCAGATCCATAATTATTTTACCAACCATATAACCAAGAATACAAATATTTTTTTTTAAAGAAAAAAAAAATAAATAACTACGACAAATTTTTTTTTTTTTTAATATATGATTATTAAAATTAAAAAAAAAATAATTATATTGAACCTATACACCCTTGTTTAATTTGCTTATATAATTTTTTTTTACATATTTATTTTTATTTATATTTAGTCATACAACGAACTAATTTCGAAATCTTTCATTAATAATGTTTCGAAATCCTTCATTATTGGACCAAAACTCATAACATTAACTGGGTTTTTGTTTTGGTAATATCTGTCAAACGAAATAAAAATTCTTGCTAATTTTTTATAAAATAAATAAAATTTGTAAGTATAAATCTAGTTTTTTAAAATTAATAAGTTATAATAAATAAATACCATAAAGTTCATTAAATTGTTCGATATTTGAACCAACTTTATAAAAATGAATCTTATAACTTGAAATCTTCATTAACTTTGAAACTAAGGCTGTTATATTAATTCCTGTAATGGCAAATGGATATTGACATTTTGATCTTGAATTGTTTAAGGCATCTCTAGCTTTGTCAGAATGAATTGTAGATAAATAAACTAAATTCTCTAAACCCAAAATTCCCATACCTCTAAAATCTGTAGCTGGGTCTTTACCTTGAAAGCCTAATTCACCCCATTCTGAACTAAATCTTGCGCTTCTTCTAACATTTGGTGAAAGAGATTGCCAAAGTAATTCTAGCATGTCCTCATGTTCTTGATTTTTGTTATCATAGAGTTCATTTTGTTTGTTTTTAATTACTTTTTTAAATGTTTGATATGAGCTAATTGGTTCTAATGCTGATATTAAATTTGGTAAAATTCTTATAAATAAAAATAAATAAATATAAGTATTTTTAATTTTTAATTTTTTTTTTTTTTTTTGAAAATTTAAATGAAATTTTTACGTTGCATCAAATGTTAAAACCTCTTGATTAAAATTTTTAATTTCGACAATTTTAATTGCAATATCGCCCGAGTCAAATTCGTTTTCCATTTCTGTTTTTATTTTAATAAGTTGTTTTGAATTTTCTATGCTATCCTCTATAAGTTTTGTTTTTTCAAATGACTTTATTTGATTGTCATAACAAATTCTTTCTATTTCTGACTTTTTTGAAAAAAAATGTACAATATATTTATAGATTTTCCATAAAAATAATGGGATTTGCATTTTTAATGGTATATATATATATAATATTAATAAATAAATAAAAATAATCGTTATGAAAAAACAAAAAAAAAAAAAAAAAAAGAAAAAATTAAAAAAAATAAAAATAAAAATAAAAATTAAAAAAATAAAAATTAAAAAAAATAAAAAAAAGGTTTTAAAAACACAAAAACAAAAACAACTATTAAAATATTTCAAGAAACACATCAACAAACAATTATTAAAAAATTCAAGAAACACATCAACAAAAACAACAAGTTATTTTAAAGAAAAAATTATTTTAATTAAATTTTAACCCAAAAATATCTAATTTTAAAAAAAATAAAAATCAAAAAAAAAAAAAAAAAAAAAAAAAAAAAAAATTAATTTAAATTTAAATATTTTATTTATTTAATTTAAACGATTCTTTTTCAAGATTGAAAGGGCTAATTCTTCTTGATCTTCAATGGTTCTCTTTTTATTTGAGATTTGTGGTTTAACTTTTTCTTCTTCTTCTTCTTCCTCTTCTGATTCGTCTTCTGAATTATCGCTATTTTCTTCTTCATCATCACTATTTTCATATGGATCATCTTCACCAGGTGGTACGAAATAAGCAACTGATTCTTCTTCATCACCATCTTTATATTGAGATAATTCTTTACTTTGAAGTTTTAATTTTCTTCTCTTTAATCTTTCTTTTTGTAAAATTTTATCTTCAGCATCACCTTGTTTAACTTCTGATCTAATTTTTTCTAAATATGAGGTTGGTAAAACACCATTGGTTGGAAGTGCAGTAGACTCTTGGAATTTTAATTTGTTTGGATCGTTCAAGTATTTCTTTTCTTTTTGATCCTTTCTTGAAAGTTTTTCTGGAACATCTGATGTATCAACATTATGATCCTTTCTTTTAATTGTCATAAAGTCTTCATCATCCTCCTCGTTATCTTCTTTATGTCTAAGTTTTTGATAGTTTTCAGAGAAAACATTAGCATTTTTACGTAAAAATGTTTTTTCAATATTTGAAAGTGGTCTCTTATTATTTGTAATAACAATTTCACCATCTGAACCTTCTTCTGGTAACTCTGCATCACTATCGATATCTGAATCTTTATCTTTTTCACCTTTAGATTTTTGGTCTTGTAATTTCTTTTGAATATCTGCGACAATAAATGATTTATTTTTATCTGCACTTGATTTACCAAATGAAATCTGTGGTTTACCTAATAAACCTAATGATTTAGAAAAATCTTCAATATTTAATTTTTCGATATTAAATATTTCTTTATTTGATTGTCTATAAACTGATCTTAAATATGAAACAAATGACTAAATGATAATAAAATAAAGTTTTAAAAATTAATTAGTATTTATATGATATTAAAATATGCAGGTAAATAAATTTATAATTACTTTTTGAGCTAAATATTTTAATTCGGTTTTTTCAGATAAGAAACCACTTAACTGTGAATCGATTGAAACTAATTTTTCTGGATTTGGTTCTAAAACTTCATATTTCATTTTTTGTTTTTCTAATAAAGCAGTCATAGCTTCTTTTTCGCTTGGTAAAAGGATTGTAATAGCTTGACCTGTAGCATTATTTCTTGCAGTTCTACCGATTCTATGAATATATGTCTCGATATCATCTGGGCAATCAACTTGAATAACCCATTCAACCTCTGGGAAATCTAAACCTCTTGCAGCAATATCGGTGGCAAACAAAACACCTGCTTTCTTTTTACAAAAATCTTCAAATACCTCTAAACGTGTCCATTGTTTCATTTTACCGTGTAATTGGAATAAAGATGTACCTGGATTTAAAAGTCTAAAGGTTTCATATACAAATCTGATTTGTTTACATGATGCAAAGAATACAATAACTTTTGATGTTAAATGGGTCTTGACGAATGAATACAACATATTTAATTTCATTTCTAATGGGATAATACAGATAGTTTGAGTAAGATTTTGTGGTGCTGTAATAATATCCTTTTCATAAACTGAAATGTATTCTGGCTCGTTAAGTGAAAGTCTAACTAAATCACGAACTGATTTGGTTTGGGTTGCTGAGAATAAAAGTGTTTGTCTTTGTTTTGGAAGATTTTCGAGGATTGAATTGAGTGATTTTGAAAAACCTAAATCTAAAATACGATCTGCTTCATCCAATACTAACATCTTTAAATTACTACAATCAAAACCATAAGTTTCGTCCATATGTTGTAATAATCTACCTGGTGTTGCAATTAAAATGTTCATAGCATTTACTTTTTCTTTTTCTTGTGTAACATTTCTACCACCAATAAGTAAACCTGCTGAAAATGTATGATGTTTACCAACTGATTTTAAAACATCAAAAATTTGAATTGCTAATTCTCTAGTTGGTGATAAAACAATTGCACCAATACCATCATTTCTACTCCATCTATTTCTCCATAAAGTTTCTAAAACCTAATAAAATAAATATAATTATATTAATATATATTACTATTACTATAGCTATTCCTATTATTTATTAATTACTTACTGGAATAATAAATGCTAAAGTTTTACCTGAACCAGTTCTGGCAGCACCTAAAATATCTCTACCGCATAAAGTGTGTGGAAGTGAAGCTCTTTGAATATCAGTTAATTTGTAGAATTTTGATTCAGTTAAACCTTTTTGAGTTAATTGAGAGAGTGGTAAATCTTTAAATATTGTAGCTGATGGATAATCGACTTTATATTCTTGTGATGATGAGGATGTTGCATTTGTTGCATTTGTTGATGGTGAGTTTGCTAATGGGTTGGTACCTCTTGCTGGTGCTTCTTCCTTTAATCTATTTTCGATGATTTCAATCTCATTTAATTTAATTGTTAATGGTTTCTTACTATGTTCAATCTTTTTTAATTTCTCGATTCTCTTTTTACTACTTCTATTGTGGAAAATTTTTGAATTATCTGTTTTTTCTTTTTTTGAGTCATATTTATTTTTTGTTAATTTTTTAATATTTTCATCATTGTTTTGTTGTTTATTTTTATCCATTTTATTATATATTTATTGTATATATATAAAATATATATTTTAGAAAAGATGAAAAAAAGAGAAATATTCACAAAAATAAAATAAAATAAAATTTATGAAAAAATATTAAAATAAAAAAAAAGAAAAAGAAAAATAAAAAAAAGAAATAAAAAAAGCCGAAAAACGACAAATTTATTTTTTTAAAAATTTTTTTTTTTTTTTTTTTTTAAAATTTATTAAATTTTTATTTTAATCATTCAAATACAATTAACTGTTATAGGATGACAACAGATATAAAAAAGAAATCAACTACTAAAAAAGTAGTCTCAACTACAAATAAACAAACAGATTCTAAACCAATTGTTAAAAAAACAGTTGTAAAAAAAGTTGTTAATGAAAATAAAAAGCCAATTAAAAAAATAGAAAAAATTGTAAGAGAAGAAGAAGAGGAAGAAAATAACATTGAAGAAGAAGAGGAAGAAGATAAAGAAGAGCAAGTTGTCATTAAATCACCAGCAGTTAAAAAGCAACAACAACAAACACAACAATCAAAAGAAGAAATATTAGATGATGATGAGTTATTAGAAAAGGAAGATGAAGAAAGAGAAATTCAAGAGTTTATTAACAATAGCAATTATAAAAATCAAGAAGAAGAGGAAAAGAAATATGAACATGTTACATTCGAATCATTAGGAGTTCACCCACAAATTATTGATGCATGTTACCGTTCTGGATTTAAGAAACCAAAAGAAATTCAAAGAGAAACTATTCCATGGGCATTAAAAGGACGTGATATCATTGGTTTAGCACAGACCGGTTCTGGTAAAACTGGTGCATTTGTAATTCCAGTACTTCAAAAACTTTTAGAACAACCTCAAGGTATTTTTTGTTTATGTATTGCACCAACTAGAGAGTTGGCTTTTCAAATTGCAGAACAATTTAATGCACTCGGAGCAACTATTGGTGTCAAAACCTGTGTTTTAGTCGGTGGTATTGACTCTATGACTCAATCTTTACAACTTGCTAAAAAGCCACATATCATCATTGGTTCACCAGGTAGAATTATTTTTCATTTAGAAAATACTAAAGGTTTCAATTTACGTTCAATTAAATACTTTATTATGGATGAAGCAGATCGTCTTTTTGGTGCAGATTTCGAAGAGGAAGTTAATAATATTTTAAAGGTTATTCCAAAAGAAAGAAACACATTTTTATTCTCAGCTACCATGACATCTAAAGTTGCCAAACTTCAAAGAGCCTCTTTAGTTAATCCAGTTAAAATTCAAGTTGCAACCAAATACCAAACCGTCGATACATTAATCCAACAATACCTTTTCATCCCATTCAAATATAAAGAATGTTATCTTGTATATATCCTCAATGAATTAGCAGGCAATCTAACCATTATTTTCACATCAACATGTGCCAGTTCAAATAAAGTCACACTCATGTTAAGAAACCTTGGTTTGGCAGCTATTCCAATTAACGGTGATATGGATCAAGCTAAACGTTTAGCATCATTAAGTAAATTTAAACAAGGTACAAAATCAATTTTAGTCGCTACTGATGTCGCTGCTAGAGGTTTAGATATTCCAATGGTCGATTTAGTTATCAATTATGATGTACCAACCAATTCAAAGGAATATATTCATCGTGTAGGTAGAACTGCTAGAGCAGGTAATTCAGGTCGTGCTATTACTTTGGTCACTCAATATGACGTCGAAATGTACCAAAGAATTGAATTTGTTTTAAAAAAGAAATTAGATGAATTCCCATGTCAAGAAGATACCGTATTAATTTTCCTCGAAAGAGTTACCCAAGCCGTAAGAGAAGCAACTAATAAATTAAAAGATAGTGGTTATTCAAGTGGCGATAAGAGTTCAGGCGATGCTGAAGGTAGTATCGGATTTAAAAAGAGAAAAGTTGTAAAAAAGACTCATAAAAAGAAAAAATATTAAATAAATAAATAAATATATAAATAAATTAAAGTTTTTTTTTTTTGTATACATTTATATTTTATTATATAAATTATATTTTTTATTATTTAAACTATTATAATTATTTATTAAATTATTAATATAGTATTTAATTAATTTTTTTTATTTTTTAAATTTAAAACAACTTAATTTTGTTGTTCTTCGGCGAAGGCATTGGCAAGTGGGAAGATTGAATGTAATTTCTCTTTATATTGTTTAACTGAATCTGGTAATATGGTTGAAAGTGATTCAAGATTATTTACACATTGCTCCCAATTGGTTTCACCATTAACATTCATAATTAATTCTAATGCTTTATCTTTTGATTCTGGTGAAAGCTTGTATAAAATTTCACCAGCTACGAAACGGTGTTGAGCAGAGTCTTTATGTTTATCTGCAAATGATTGATTAAAAGCCAAAAGTGAGTTGGTATCGGATGCTAAAGATAATTGTTTTTCGATAGCAGCTTTAACAATTGCTGAAACTTCGGTATCCTTTGAAACTTGGATAAGTAATTCCATTAAATTCTTGTGATATAATGGACTATTTTCATTGATCGATTTGATTTTTAATAAAGTTTTTAATATAACTAAATATTTCTCTATAATTATAAAAAAGTTAATAAATCTGGCCTATCCTTTGAAATAATTAATAAAAATAATGAAACTTACTTTGTTGTAAATTAATTTGACATGATAAAGAATGACCTTCGATATCATTTGGAGCAAATTTAATAAGGTTGTCAACAAAAACTAAAGCTGGTGTCCATAAGTCGTTCATATGTTTTGCTAAATATTTTTCGCCGTTTGGATCGTCATCTTCTGGAATGGTTAAACCAGTTGATGGATCTTTCTTTGGTTCGGTTGATTTTGGTGGAGCTGGTGGTTTAGCGATGGCTGGAACCTTCTTTAATGGTAGAACAAATTCTGGTTTCTTTTGAATATTTAAAAAGGTTCTGGCAGCAAATTTGGCAGTATCAAAGTATGGTTTGTTTTGATATACAACATCTTCCCATCTTAAAAATTCAATATATGATCTTAAAGTTAATTTCTTTTGAATATGGTTGTGGAAATCCATTTGATCTTCGAGAAATTCACCAAAGTGCTATAATAGAAAAATTATTAATAAAACTATATAAATATAAATTAAATATTTAATATTAAATAAACTTACTTTTTCGACTAAATTGAATAATTTTAAGGCTTTGGCATAATCACCTGATCTTAAATAAGCAGCACCTAATTCATTTTCGTACCAAATAACTTGGAATTCGCTCATATTGAACATAAGGGTTTGACTTTCATCTTTAATCAAAGAGAAGATAGCCTCGGCAGTATCTGGGTCGTTGTTTCTAAGAGCATATTTTGCACATTTGGTATTTAAATATCTATCAGCTAAATCTAACTTACGAGCAGTATCATATTCTTCAAAAGCTCTTTGAACATCACCTTGATGCTAAATTAAAAAAAATATTAATAACTTGATTTAAATTGATGTTATTATTACTACTATTTAATATTTACTTTATATAATTTAGCTTTAATAACATAAAAATCTAAACAGGTTGGAGTGTGTTTAATACCTTGTTCAATGTAATCTAATGATTCTTTGAAGTCATTTAATTTGTCGTAATGTTGACCAAGATAATAATAGCACCATAAAATAGTTGATGGAGATTCTTTTTCTGATGAACCTGAAAGGGTTTGGTTATCTTTGAGTGATTGTAAATGATCCAAGAAAACTTGGGTGATAACTTCAACTTTATCCTTGTTGTTATATAAACATTTGAGACTGTTGAAAAGTGATGGAATGTTTTTAGTAAGGAATTTACCTGAATATTTAACTAAATGTTCTCTAAATTCTTGTTTGTCTTGTAAAAACATCAATGGAATCTTTTGAATTAAAACACTCTTTGGATATTGTTGTTCTAAATCTTTATATAAATCTTTTAATAAATTAATTTTTTCTTGATCTAAATTTTCTATAATAAAAAATGGATTATAATTAGTAAAAAATGTTATTAATAAACTTTTAATTCTGCTGTATGTATTTCTTACCTAAATTTTCACTTTTGATATTTTTTGATTCCCAAAGTTTTTTATGAACATTTAAATTATCTGGATTTAATTTAATTAAATTTCTTAAAATGGTTTCAGCTTTTTGATTTTCATTCTTTTTCATTAAGATTTCAGCTTGCTTTTGCTTGGCCCAAAGTTTATCTAAAATAATCTTTTCTTCTTTAACTAAAATATTAAGGGCTTGGTCGTATTCTTGCATTTCATCGAGAAGCATACATTTGTAAAGGAGTAATTCAGAGTATCTAAGACCTGTCTTTTCTTTATCATCGAGAATATCAAAGAATTTTTCTAAAATTGAAAAAGCTGCTTTTTGTTGACCCATTAAATGATAAGTGATAATTAAACCAATCCAATGACTTTTAATTGATGGTTGTAATTTTAATAAAGCTGCATAACTTTCCTAAAAGATAATTAAAATATTAATATTTTTAATGATGATGAAGATGATATTTTAATGATGTTAATTACTTTTAAACCAGTTAAATCTCTTGCGTATAATTGAATTGATGATAAATCTCTTAAGATTTGTGAACTTTCTTTATTATTTTTTGATGCCATTTTGAAAGCTTTACCAGCTTCTAAATAGTTTTTATCTTGTCTATGAAGAAAACCTAATGTGTGCCATGCAATTGAACTTGTCATGTTTGATTTAATGGCTTTGTTTGCAATTTCGTGGGCTTCTTCTTTTTGATCCATATTATAAATAATTAATGACTTGAAACATGATGCATCGACATTATCTGGATGGGTTTTTAAGAAAGCATCACATGCCTTTAAACCTTTTTTATATTTTTTATCATCAAATAATTTCTAAATAATATATGAGTTTTTATTAATAAAACTATAACATCATAAACCGTGGGGGTGGATTGTTGTGTGTGATGTGTATGAAATTTCGTAATTATTTTTTTTTTGATTTTTTTTTTGATCAATAATACATACTGAGATATTTTTAATAGCGGCTTGATCTTTACTCGATAACTCTTTAGTTGGTGCCATTATTATGATTATTATCTAAAATCGGGTAACCAAAATAAAAAAACTAATGACCTGAAAATAAAAATTTAAAAAAAAAAAATTGAAAAAATTGAAAAAATTTAAAAAAAAATTTTTAAAAAAAAAATTAAAAAAAAAAAATTAAAAACTATGTGTAAAGTAATGATATAAATAAATAAAATTATAAAACGAATAAATGGGGTGGTTACTTTTTTTGGTTAAAGTCATTGGTTTTTTTTTATATTTTTTTTTCTATTTTTGAATTATTTGCTTATTTTTTTTATTTTATTTTTTTTTTTTGGTAAAAGATTTAAAAAGATTCATTATTCTTCATCTGAATCTCCAACTTTTTTATTTGGTTTTTTTTGTTGGGTGGTTTTTGGTTTTTGTTGTGGTTTTGATTTTTGTTGTGATTTGGTTGGTTTGACTGGTTTAACTGGCTCTTCTTCTTCTTCCTCTTCTTCATCTCCGAAACTTGCATCTTCTTCATCTTCGAAACTTTCATCATCTTCATCTTCTCCATCATCTTCTTCATAACCTTCTTGATTTCTATTTTGTTTAGTAAAAATAACTGGTTCTTTTGAACCTTCTTGTTTTTCGAAACCAAAGGCATTTTGGACTGAAATGAATTTTTTAGTATCGATAATATTTGGTCTTTGGCTTTCAGAACCAATGGCTAAAATAAATGGTGAGTTTTGGAAGAAAGAAACAGAAAAGACCTCTTCTTGAAGTGATTTCTCTTCAATAAGTGAAACTTGGTTGTTGTTGTCAAGTTTCCAAAGTTTAAGTGTGTGATCACTGCTACCAGTTGCAAAGAAACCAGCTTGACCTGGACAATATGAAAAAGATGAAACACCTGAACTGTGAGCTTGAACGGACCAAACTGGTTTGGCATTTGGACCTAATGTAGCATCATAGGATACTACTGTACCATTATCGGTACCAACAATAAACTCTTTTGCATTATGTGGATTCCATTGAAGACATTCAACTTCACCTTTAACTGACCATTTATAAGCTGCATCTGGTGATCTAACATCTACAATACTAACATATTTATCGTGTGAACCAACTAAAAGAGCTGTTTTTTCTTGACTATTCCATTGTAATGCTGAAATTCTATCTTTGTGATGAGTGAATGTATTTAAACATTGTTGAGTTGTAATATCCCATACTTTAACAGTTTTATCACCAGAACCACTTGCTAATACGTTTCTTTGTTGTGAATTCCAAGATAATGAAATAACACTATCTATATGACTATTTGGTTTAAATTTATTTATATTCTTTTGTTTCTATAATAATAGATGAAAGTGAATTAATATATATAAAATAAAAAATGAATAAAAAAGGAATAAAAATATTTAAACTTACACCTCTGATTTTCTTTTCGTCTAATTTACCGCCTAATGTAACAGTTGGAATTAAATTGTCAATAACATCTAAATCCCAAATTTCAATTCCTGGTTCAAAAGTACCAACGGCAACAAATGAACCTTTTTCATTAATACTTGCTGGGTTTTGATCGGTCCATGCTAATGAAATTGGGAATGATGATAAAATAATATCGTGATGTACATAGAGATTGTCGCAATCTTCTTCATAAACCATAATATCTAAATGTGAGTATTCATCATCGGCTGTGGCAATTGCTGTAATAAGAATTGAATCAGTTGGTCTAATAACAATATCATCAATATCATCGGCATCTTCTTCTTCCTTATCTTGAAGATATGGATCTGTATCTGAATCTTTATAAAACATTAAACCTTTCATGGCTCTATTAATAAACTTTAAACCAACTTTTTCTGTTTTTTCATTCTTTGCATCTTCTGTCATCATTGATTCATCTTCTTCATCACTGTCATAGTCATCAAAGTTATATCTATCATAAATTTCTTTATCATTGCCGTCTATTTGTGGTTGTGCTTTATTTTTATTCTTTTTATCTTTTTTAGTTGGCTCTACTTCTTCATTGTCTTGAATTGATTTTAATTCTTCTTCGTCTAATTTTTCATCTGAATTTGGGTCAAATTTCTTTGGGAAAGGGTTGGCTGAACCTTTTGGTATCCATTGTAATGCTGAAATCATTTTTTTTGGATATATTTAAAATTTAATTAAATTGTTATAAATAAAAATAAAAAAAAAGAATAAAAAAATGAGACGATAAGCAAAAAAAAAATTTAAAAAAAAAAAAAAGAAAAAAAATTAAAATAAAAAAAAAAAAAACGAAAACGAAAAAAAAAATTTAAATAAATAATTTTTTATTTTTTTAAAATTAAATTATTAATAAATAATTATCAATAAATAATAATTATTATTTTTGTTCGAATAAATAGTTTTGTTTATTTGGTTTTTGAAAAAATTAAAGAACAGTTTGTTCCACCAAAACCAAATGAATTTTTTAATACATGATTGATTTCCATTGGTTGAGATCTTTTTGGCACCAAGTTAATACCCAAACAGTCGTCTGAGGGTTCTTCTAAATTTAAAGTTGGTGGGGCAATGTTATTGTAAAGTGATAAAATTGAAAAAATAGATTCTACACTACCAGCTGCACCCAAAAGATGACCAATTGAACCTTTATTTGAGCTCATTGTAATTTGTTTGTTGCTTGTTTGGATTGAATTTTGATTTACAAAGTCCTTAATTGCTTTACATTCGATACCATCTCCTAAAGGTGTTGATGTGGCATGGGCATTGAAATAGTCAATATCGCTGGCATCAAGACCTGATTCTTTTAGTGCTAGGGTCATTGATCTAAAAGGACCATTTCCGTCACTATTTGGTGCAGATATATGATGGGCATCACCAGATGAGCCATAGCCTTTAACTTCGCAATATATTTTAGCACCTCTAGCAATGGCATGCTCGTACTCTTCCAACACTAAAATACCAGCACCCTCGCCCATTACAAATCCATCTCTTCTCTTATCGAATGGTCTGCTGCTTTCAGTTGGTGTATCGTTGAATTTAGTCGAAAGTGCTTTCATTTTAGAGAACCCTACCATTGAAACTGAATTGATACTTGCTTCTGTACCACCACATATCATTACATCTACTTCGCCATATTTAATTTTCCTAAAGGATTCCCCAATACAATGCGATCCTGTAGCACATGCACTAACAATTGAAAGATTTGGACCCTTTGCTTTATGCAATATACTAACTATACCGGATGCCTCGTTTATAAGTATTCTTGGAATAAAATAGGCAGATACTTTCCCAGTTCCACTTGAGTATTTAGAGATCTTTTCAGTTGCAGCCATAATCTCCTCCATTGAACCAGTACCTGAGCCTATGCAAACGCCAGTACGTTCTTGTAATGAATCCTTATTCTCTTTTAATGCATCACTAATACCGGAATCTTGAACTGCTTCATTTGAGGCAGCAACTGCATATTTTATAAAATCTGAGCTTGCTAAACGCACATCGGAAGGAACCATCTTTTGTTGGTCAAATTGGCCCTCTTCACTTCCTTTTGGAACCATGGCGGCAATTTTTGCAGGTATATCGATTTTGCTGTTGTCGATTGTTAATTTTTGAATACCACTTTCACCATTTATTAGCCTTTTCCAATTAGTATCTAATCCACAACCTAAGGGTGTCACTAGGCCCATACCTGTCACAACAACTCTTTTTAATTTTAAAAAATTACTATTATTATTATTATAAATATTATTATCATTACTATTTATTTTATTATCTATATTTTTATTTGTAACATAAACAGTTGCTATATTTTTTATATCGTTATTATTTTTACTAGCAGTATCTATTTTATCATTATTTAAATTACTAATATTTTTTGTATATATATTATTGTTATTGTTACTTGTAGTTGTTAAGTGTTTTATTCCATATTGTAATTGAAAATTTTTATTTGTTTTATTAAATAATTTCAATATCATTTTTATTTTAATTCTCTGAAAAATATATCTCTTTTTGTAATATTGTGGGGGTTAGAGTATAATTGGCGAAAGTGTGTGTTTTATTATTAATTTAAATAAAATAGATTCATAAGTGATGATAGTTTCCAAACATATACACTACACATATATATTAAAAAAATCTAAATAATCAAATTAGTTTTTTTGAAAGAATTTTTTTTTTTATAATTTTTATAATTTTTATAATTTTTATAAAATTAATTTTTTTTTTTTTTTTTTTTTTTTTTTTTTTTTTTTTTTTTTTTTTTTTTTTTTTTTTTTTTGGGGGAAGGAAAAAAAAATTAAAAAAATCTTTTTTAAATTAAAAGGGGGAATTAAAAGAATTTAAAAAAAAACCCCCAAGGGTTAAAAAAAATAAAACCATTTCCTACCTTTTTTTGAAAAGGAAAAAAAAAAAAGGGGGGGGTTGTAAAAAAAAAAACCTTTTTTAAAAAAATAAAAAAAAAAAAAAATTTTTTATTAAAAATTCTACAAAAAAAGGGGGCCCGAGGGGGGGGGGCTTTTTTTTTTTTTAAAAAAGGCGCGAGAGGGTTTAAGGGGAAATAAAATTTTTTTTGCCCCATTTAATTCCATAATCCAAAAAAAAAAGAAAAGGGGTTTAACTTAATGGTTTTTTGCCACCACAAAGCCATTTCATATTTCGATTGTTAAAAATTAGGTTTTTAGATAGGGGAAATTAATTAAAAATTAATTAAAAATTCCCATAATTGTATATATAAAATAAATTTTTTGTTTCAATTAAAAAAAAAAAAAAAAAAAAAAAAACAAAGGGTACAAAATAAAAAAGGAAACTTTAGGAGCAACTATTAATATTTATATCCCAAGGGCATAAAAAACCAAACTTTAAGGTTATAGAAATAATTAATTCCCTATTGTTGGTGTTGCATATACTTTTTTTTTTTAAAAATTGTTTTTTTTTTTTGTCTCTTTTTATTTTATTATTTCTTTTTTGCTCCCTTTTGTTAATAATTTTGTTTCGATTTTATCCATAGAAAAAAACAAAAATACATTTTTTAAAAATTTTAATTAACACTCACCACTCACAAAAACAACCACATTCACCTGATTTCCTAAGATTTTTAAAAAATGACAATATCAATAATAATTGAAAAATTCTTATTCGTAATCTCTACGCCACCCACCAATAATCATATGTTTTTAACATTAAATTATGTTGTAGTTAATAGTAGTTTTTATTAATCATAAAAAACTAAACATAACAAAACACCAAGGTACCTTTTAAAAGGTGTGTATTTTGGGATTAATAATATCAATATTAATAAAAAATAATAGTAATGTTATTTATTGTTGTACCTATTTATTTAATTTAAATTTAAATTTAAAATTAATTATTTATTAAATAAAAAAATTCATGACCAAAATTGTAGAAAGAATTTTGAATCACTTTGTATGACATAGTGGCAAGACATTTTAATTAACAAAACTCAAAACAAATAAACACACAAAAACACATAAACTCTATTTCTTCCCCTTTATTTTTCTACATAAACCCAAAACACTTTTTTTTTTTTTTTTATGTGGGTGAATATATATTATATTTATGAAATTTATATTTAAAGAGTGTTCAAAGGGGGTATTAATAATATTATCAATTTTATTTATTTATTTGTTTTAATTTTTTATTATTTATTTGTTTTTTTTTTTTTTATTTTTTTGCTTTTTTTTTTTTGTTTGTTTTTTTTTTATCCATATATATTTAAAATTAAATTTTCAATAAAAAAAAAAAAAAAAAAACCAAAATCAAAATTATTAATAGTGATATAAATAATAAAAATAATAGTATTGAAAAAATAATAGAATAATAAAAATAATAATATTAATATCAACAATACCAATAACTATAAAAACAACAATAAAAAAAACATAATAAATTTCCTATTATAAGAGTTTAGAGTGTGGGTTCAAATTTTTTAAAATACATTTTTATTTGTTGTCTAAATGTAGTGTATCATGTGTTAGTGTATTTTTATTTTTTAATTATTTTTAAAATTTTTTTATTTATTTTTTTTTTGTTTAAAAATAATTAATAAAAGATTCCATTTTATTTAATTATTTTTTGATGATAGAAATTCAAATTAATTAGATTAAAGATTTTTTTTTTTGTTTTGTCCTTTTTTAAAATCTATTTTATTTTTTAAAATCTACATTAATAAAATAATAAAATATTACCACAACATTAATTGTATTATAGTTTTTTTTAAAATTTTTTTTTTAAAAAATAATTTTTATTTTTTTATTTTTTTTTAAATTTGTTTTTTTTCCATTTTTTTTTTAACTTTTATTTTATATTTTTTGCTAATTAAACAAAAAAAAATAATAAACTACAAATATAACAATTTTTTTTTATCAATTTGTTGTGTTTTGTTGACATGCGTGTATAAAATTTAATTTTTATATTTTATTTCAATTTTTTTTTTTTTAGTTTTTGATCACACACTATAGTTTTATAAAATTACAAATATTTATTTTTTATTTTAATCAATAGAATAGTCACTATTATTTAGTTAATGAAATAAGCAAGTTAGTTTATTCACATCTTTTATTTTTTGTGCTGTAGATGCCTCTCAACAATCTTTAAATAATATAAATAATAGTTTCTTCTAAAAAATAAAAATGGGGGCACAGTATTCTTTGGACAATAATGAAAATAATGAAACAAATAATAACAATTTTTCAAATAGGCTACCCTCTTTAAATTTTAATAATACAAATACTAATAATAATAATAATTATAATAATTATAATAATAATAATATCAACAATAATATTAATAATAATATTAATAATATAAATAATGTTAACAACAATACTAATAATATTAATAATAACAGTTTAAATAATGGAAATGGTAGAGATATATTAAACCGAGATAATTATTTAAATAGCAATGATAGGGAATTTATAAACACTGTTATTAATTCAGCAAAACAAATTGGAACCAATGATGAAAAAGAATTGGTATTATTCCATAAAATCCATAAATCGTTAAAAGAAAACCAATCATCAATTCAAGAACTAAGAAGTACTTCAATTCTTTCAATTTCACCAGATAAATCTATCAGTTTTAATTCAAATAATAATGGTTTTGATTTACTTGATAATATAGGTAATAATGGTAATATAGATAATAGTATAGATAATAAAATACCGAAAATTAAAAAAGAATCAAATAGTTTCCAAGAAAATAATAATGGGGGTCAGGTTAAATTAAGTAAATATATGACAAAAAAACTAATGGCAATCCAAGAACAAAGAAAACAAGATATCCAAAACTCAACACATTTTGATGACTCTATTGAAAAAATTATAAAAGCTCAAAGCTCATTATCAAATGTAAATAACACCAATAGTAATAATATCAATAATAGTAATATTAATAATTATAACAATAACAATTTGAAAAAAATAATAAACCAAAAGCAACAGATTTCATTTTTGACCAAAGGTGACGAAGAAATAGAGGAAAATAGTAATGACGAAGAGGATGAATATTACGATGATGAAGAGGATGAGGACGAATCATATTCAGAGAGTGAACAAACAATAGATTCAAAATATAGGGGTAATGGTTTTGGCAATTCCAACAATAAAAATAGTATTGATAAAAATAATAAAACCAAAATCTCAAATTTATTAGATAGTGAATCATTAATAAAAAATAACTCAAATAAAATTGATACATACACAGATGATGCCAATATAAATAATAGTATAAATAATTTTTTAAATAATAATAATGTTTCTATAAATATAAATAATAATAATAACATTAATAATATTAATAACATTAATAATAATATTAATAATAATATTAATAATAATAATAATAATAACAGCTTCCCACCAATCCCAACAAATCCATTTAAAAGAGATCTTAATACATTTAAAGATAAGGGTAATAATAACATTCTTAGTAATGAAATATCAGTTGCAACAACCACAAAAACAATGCCACAAATTATTTCATCCCCTTACTATTCAAAATCAAATAAAGTATCCCCAAAGAACTCAATTGATCTTTCATCACCATCACCATCATCATCACCACCATCATCTGCAAATACATCACCTCCCCAACCACAACAGAAGATATCACCTCCACCTGTGTTAGATCAACAATTAACTCTAAACTCACCATCATTATTAAAGCAACAAACAAAACAAAAAGTAAAAAAACAAAAGAAAAATGAAAATGAAGAAAATATCAATGTAAATAATCAAAACCAAAATCAAATAAATAATAATAATGATAATAATAATAATGTAAATAATAATGTAAATAATAATAATAATAATAATAATAATAATTCAATTAATATTATTTCGGATGGTTATCAATGGAGAAAGTATGGTCAAAAGAATGTTAAAGGAAGTTCACATCCAAGACATTATTATAAATGTACATATCCTGGTTGTAATGTAAGAAAACAAGTTGAGAGAGTATCAAATGGTTCCAATACAAACAATATTGTATATAAAGGTGAACATTGTCACGGGTTTCCCCAAACCACTCGTATTGTTTCAGATCAACAGGCATTTAGAAAATCAGTTTCAGAAGGTATAGAGAGTATAAATGACTCTGATGACACAATGGCAAATAATAATGATGAAAAAGAATCAAGCCAAGATGAAAAGGAATTTATAGATCAAGATGATAATGATATAAATAATAATGGTAATGGTAATAATAATAGTAATAATAATTACAACAGTGGTAAAGGGTCAAAAAAATTAGTTATTGAAACCGGATCAAGCATAGATCATTTAGATGATGGTTTTTCATGGAGAAAATATGGTCAAAAGGCGGTCAAAGGCAGTATTTTTCCAAAAAGCTATTTCAAATGTGCCGAACCATCTTGCCCAGTTAAAAAACAGGTTATTCAACAAGATTTGAAATTTATAAACACATATAGTGGTAAACATAATCACGATCCACCTGAATTAGATGGCTCTGAAAGAAAGAAAAAATCAAATAATAATAATAATAATAATATTTTATCATCCCCAAAAAAACAAAATAATTTTAATGGTCAACAACCACAACAACAACAACAACAACAATCGCCCAACCACCAAAATATATCAATACCTCCACAACCTCAATCACAACAAAAATATCAATCACATATAAATTTAAAAGAGCAATTAAAAGAACAATTAAAAGAGCAATTAAAAGAAGCGGGAAAATTACATTCTGAAATCGAAAATAATTTAAATGATGATCATAATTGACCCATCATTTAATTTTAATAAATAAAACAATTATAATCTTATAAAATATAATATTATAAATATAATATTAAAATTTAAAATATTTTATTTCTTTTTTTTTTTTTTTTATCTGAATGAAGCAATTTATTATTATAACTTTAATAATAGAGAGGAATATTTCAATATGAATTAAAGACTCTTGTTAAATGATCTCTTTTTTTTTTTATTATACTTTTTCCTTTTTCGTTAAACACTGTTTAAAATTTTTTTATTTTTTTAATTTACTTTTTTTTTTAATTTTCTTTCATAGTATTTTAAAAATTTTTTTTTTTTTTTTTTTTTTTCTTTATTATTTTATATACATACAAATAATCATACATTTTTATTTTTTCATAATAATATTCAGCACATATAATAATTTTTAATAATAACAATAATAATTTTTTATATTTTTAAAATAATTTACAACTTAATTAATATTTAAAAATGGATTTACAACTTGTTTTTTACTTTTTATGTGGTATCGCTAGTTTCTCATTAGCATTTTTTATTAATAACAAGAAATACAATAACAGTAATAATAACAAATACAATAGCAATAACATTGGAAACAACACTAATAGCACCCACACCCAAGACCCAATCAAAAATGATATAGCTATACAAGCAACCCCATCTGCATCTGCCTCTGCACCATCCGCTTCTGTATCAGCATCATCTGGTCCATCCGTATCTTCCCCATCTGCCTCAGTCTTTGCCCCATCTGCCTCAGTCTCTGCCCCATCTGCCCCAGTCTCTGCTCCAGCTGTATCTGCACCAGCATCATCTGCATCATCTTCCTCTCCACCATCTGCATCTACCTCTGCCTCTGCCTCTGCCTCTCCACCATCTGCCTCTGCCTCAGTCTCTGCACCATCACCATTATCAAGAACCAAGAAATTAAGAAAGCCAGTATCCAGAAATAGTTCTGCAGGTGCATCCACATCAACTGGCAATAGTCCAATGAAGAAAAGACCATTGGAATTAGATAATGTAATAAATTGTGATAGAACAATTTCAAAAAAACATAAACTCGAAGATGAAGAGAGTTTAAATAGAGACAATCAAATTTTACTTGAAATGGAAAGAGTAAGAGTAGAGAGAGAAAGAGAAGAAAAATTAAAATTAGACCAAATTAGAAGAGCAAGAGAAATTGAAAGAATATCAAAAAATTACAGAGAAAGGGAAGAAATTGAAAGAATTCAAATAAATCAAATTCTTCAAAGAGAACAAGAAATAAAAGAAGAATACGAAAGAAGAAAATCAGAAAGAATTCAAAAAGAAATAGAGGCAAAAGAAAGATATGAACAATCAAAATTGAGAAGCATCCAAAGACAACAAAAAAGAGAAGAAAGAGCAGAAATTGAAAGAGAAAAAGAAGAAAGAAAAAGGTTAAAGAGAATTCAAAAAGAATTAAGAGAAGAACAAAGAAGATCAGAACAAGAAAGATTGGAAAGGGCTCGTTTAGAAAGGGATGACAAATGCACAATTTGTCTTAGCGAAATTGAGACCAGTGAACTCGCAGCCATTGCATGCGTCCATAGATTCTGTTATATATGTATTGAAGAATGGTCCAAAAGCTACCGTACCTGCCCAAACTGTAGATTACCATTTACTGACATCAGAGTAAGTAATCCATAAAATTTATATCAATACAAAATAATTAAAATATATATTAATTTATTTCATTTTTATAATTTATTGAAGAGAGTAACTAGTGCTCAAGGTTAATAGGACAATGAGGATAAAGATGAAGATGACAATGATTATATTGATATCGATCAATATTGAATTGATGGTGGTTAAATTAATAATTTAAATTCTTTATTCAATGTTTCATTCATTAGAACTAGATTAAGACTAAATTATTAATAAAATCGTTTCGTTCAATGTTTCAAATCGATGGAATTAAGAAAGTCGTCCACATCATCCAGAAACAATCATCTTTATCAACATTTGTCATAAGAAATAATGTATCACGCTAGTTCAAATCTACAGAATAATTCTAAATGTCCCACGATCAAATATAACAAAATAACTCTAAAGGTAACTATAATTATAATATTTAGATAATTATTATATTTGAATATAAAAGATACTAATATAAATATAATTCTTGGTTAAGTTAAATCCAATTTTTCATTTTTTCCGCCAACACATGTTCTTCTTTTTTCTTCTAAAGGTAATTAAAATGATAATATTAACATAATTATTATTATATTTAAATAAAAAAGAAACTAATATTTAATTCATATTTAGTTAAACTCTTTCTCTTTCATTATCAACACGTGCTATTTAAAGTCTATGCTCAAGGTAACTATAATGTTAATATTAACATAATTATTTTTTAAAAAAAAGATACTAATATTTAATTTTAATATTTTTTAGCTCTATCCTTTTCAACTTCAACCGTTTTTAGTGGCTGTTTATTCTTTCTTTCAGTATCAATATTTTTTAAATCAGAAATCAATCATTGGGGTTCTTGTCTATTCATTCTTTTTCAATATCGAAACATTTAAAGTTACAAAACAAGCATTGGGGTTTTTGTCTATTCCTTCTTTCTCAGTATCGCCCCATTTTACGTCACAAATCAAACATTGGGTTATGTTATTCTCTGTAAATACGATTTTTAAATTGGTCTAATTAAGCCCATCTATTCAACTATTCCACCGCCAACACCTACGCTAATAGAGGTTATCTAAATATTTCATTAAAAAAAATCAAACTTTTTAAATAAATACATATAAACAAATATAGATATAACTATATAATTTCCTTTTTATGAAAAATTCAGTATCTTTCTTTTTATAATTATTTTTTGATTTGAAGTATAAATAATAAATTTACCAAAAATTTAATTATTTTTTTTATTTTTTTAATTTTTTTTGTTTAAAACCCAAACTATATTTTTTTTTAATTTATAAAAAAATGAAAACTTTTCGATCGATTTTATTTTATTTAGTTTCTCTTTCTTTGAATGACATCAAATTCCATTCCGGCAACATCGGTAATACCACACTTAACCTTTTGGCCTGGTTTAACTGGACCAACACCAGATGGTGTACCAGTAAGAATTAAATCACCTTCCTCTAATGTCATAATAGTACTAATATATTGAATTAAATGTGGAACGTTGAAAATCATTTGATTGGTATTTCCTTTTTGTTTTATTTGACCATCTATGCTTAACCATAATTCAAGATCGTCAATATTTTTAATTTTATCTTTTGGGATGAATCCTGAAATTGGACAAAAAGTATCATAACCTTTTGCGATTGACCATGGTAAACCCTGTTTTAATAATTATTTCAATATTAATACCATTGCATTATTATAATCATATTATCTATACTATCTATATTATTACTATTATTATTATTATTGTAAAAATTATTTGCATTATCATTATTACTATATTATTGATTTATTAAAGTTCAAGTTTTACCTTTGATTTAGCAATAGCTTGTTGATCTCTTGAAGTCATATCTAATGCTAATGTATAACCACCAACGTAATCCATTGCAGAGTTGATGTCGATGTCTCTTCCTTTTTTGCTAATAACAACGCCTAATTCGACCTCGTGGTGAATATCAGAGTTTTCATTTGGGATTTCAATAGCACCAGTTCCTTGAAGTAAATAGCTTGAGGTTGGTTTTAAAAAGAAAAATGGTTCTGATGGTACTTCATTACCTAATTCTTTAGCGTGTTGTGCATAATTTCTACCTACAGCAACAATCTTTTTACCTGTTTCCCAAAATCTTGAAATATTCATTATGGATATGTATTATTATAAATTATATAAATGAAAAAAAAAAAAATTAATATTTAAATAATTCAAAAAAAATCTTTTTTTTTTTTTCAATTTTTTTATTTTTTTTAAATTTTTTATTTTTTTTAAATTATAATAAAATGATTTAAATATGACATATGTCGCCGAATAGCAAATTTTTTAAATTTCAATGGATGGTCTTTTTTTCTTCCTCTATCTGCTCCTCTCTATTAAATTTATTTTCCCCATGAATAGGGTTCCTTTGATTATCTTCCATTTTTCTATGTTCTGGGTGGACCACAGATATTACTCTAACTTTAACTTTTCCAAAAAACACTATTGCAATAAAAATAATAGTAATAATAAATTATAATTAATAATAGTAAAATTTTTTATATAAATACTTATATTACCTTTAATTTTATCACGGAATGTTCTCAAATACTCCATTGTTTTTATATTTAAAAAAAAAAATAAAAAAAATAAAAAAAACCTTTATATTTATTTCTCTATTTAATTTAATTCATTTTCAAAAAGTGTTAATCCTTATTATTTTTAAAAATAAATCTAAACAAAATATAAATTTTTTTTTTTTTTTTTTTTTTTTTTTAAATACTTTATAAAGTATATATAGTTCTTTATTTTTTTTTTTGAAAATAATAGATAAAAATAAGTTATTATTTCAAAAGTAATAAACTATTTTAATAACTGAGATTATTTAAAGAAATCAATTTCTTCATTGAAAATTCTCGATTTATTCAAAAAACAAAAGAAATCAAGATTAAATTTTTTGATAAAATTAAAGATTTGATTCTTTTTGATATCCCAACTACATTAATTTAAAAGTGGTCTGAAATTAAAAATTCTAACCCTTTTTTATTTTTTTTTAATATATTGATAATTTATAAAATACATTATAAAATAACGGTTAATGAACAAACTTCGATTTGTTTTAAATAATCATTGATGACAAAAATAAAATAATTGTATTTTTTACACGTTTTTTAGGGGACCCAACTGCTATTTTTAAAAAATAAAAATAATTTTTACAAATTTAACCACTCAAAAACCACCAAATTATTTAATTAAGGGGTTTTTTTTGTGGTACCCGTGGGTGTTTGTGGGGTGTGGCTGTGTGAATTTAAAAATTTTTTAAAAAAAAATATAGTTATTTTTTTTATTTTTTTTTTATTTTATAACAAAAATTTTTTTTTATAAATTGAAAATTATACATGTTCCAGATCATTAATTTAATTTGTATCTTTTCATACATATTGTAAAAATAAAATAGTAAAATTAATAAATAATAAATTTGTATAGTACAATAAAAGAAATATAATAAATAATGAAATTATTATTAATTGGTTTAATTTTAACTCTAATAAACTTTGCAAATGGTCAACCCAAAATCAATGCCATTACCCAACCACAATACGGAGCATCATCAATAATTACCTTTGATGGTGATAATTTTCTTACAATATCGAGTATTAAAATAGGTACTTCGGTTTGCAAATTAGTTTCCCAAACTGCTACCCAAGCCTTATGTGGTCCTTTCAGTGATAAACTTACACCTGCCACATCTAAATTTATAGCAACCCTTACATTTACTACTACCGCCACTGTAACTGGAGATTTCAAATATGCTACTCCACAAATTCAATTATATGGTATAGATTATGAAAATCATTATTTCTGGTTTTATGGAACCAATCTTGCCCCATCAAGTAACTACAAACTTGCAGTTACCGATACCTCCACTATTAATTTAACCCCAACTCCCGATAGCTCTGCATCCCAAATGAACTTTCTTTTACCAATCTCATTAACAGGAGGACCATGTACTTTTACAGTTTCTGACACTCTTGGCTTTACTTATAAAACTCCATTAGATACAATTGTAGTTTCCCCAACCATTCAATCCATCTCCCCATCCGTTTGGAATGCAACTCAATCCCAAGTAATTACAATAACCGGCATATTTTTTGGTAATACTGTAAATGTTAAAGTCGGTGGTAATACTATTTCCAATTTAGCTGTCACATCCGCTGGTGCTGTTTTTTTTGATTCCCCAACCGGTTTTATTTCAATAAAAAATGTTACTATTGAAACCTCCAAGCAATCCGTAGGTACACTATCAAATGCATTTACCTATAACCCCCCAACCATTTCAGATATTACCCAAGTAAACGAAGCTCTCGAAATAACTGCATATGACATTGGCACAGATTCAAAATATATTCAAATTTACATCAACGGAAACTCTACCGATTTTATCCTATCAAATAATGTAATTAAAGTAACTGTTCCACCATCCATTAACACCGGCGAAACCAATATTACTGTAATATCCGATACCCAAAGTGTTTCATCATTGTTTTTAGTTAAACCCTTACTTACCAATATCTCGGCTATACCAAGTATTGGTGGTTTTGTAACAATAGAAGGTGCTTTCTTAAATGACTGCTATTTCCAAATTTTTTATAATGAAAGCACTCTTGCAAAAGATTTAAGAGACAAAGATGGTAATAATCTCTGCGACCGTTCAAAGAAAGGTGATGTTGTAGTTTGTCCAACCCCAGTAATGCCAGCCAATACCACTTTTACTATTAAAGCTATAAGATATACCGATAATCAAAATACCACTAGCGTACAAAAGATTGCAGAAATTGAAGGCTCAGTTTATTTCGTTGAAACACCTTCACCATCCCAAACACCATCACCAACCATTTCACAAACACCATCACCATCACAAACACCACACTCCAATTCAACAGATTCCTCCCACGATGAAGATACACCATCCAATTCAAATCAATTATTACCAATTTATAAATTTATTTTATTATCTTTTTTATTATCTTTTTTATTATATTAATAACCTAAATAAACAAACTATAATATGATGTATTTTTAAAATTATTTAATTAAAAAAAAAAAAAAAGAATTTTATAAGTGGACCGATTTAATAAAAAAAAATTTAAAAATAAAATATAATTTCATTTTGACTAATTGAAATATAACCCGATGCTATAAAAGATGAAGGATAGTGTGAACAAAAAAGATTTTTTTCTAACAGATCACAAAGTTTTTTAGTATTGGATTATTATCTTCCTATTTTTTTAGAAACTTTTAAAAGTAACTTTTTTTCAAGTATACCTCTTTATTAAAGATCCAAAAATTTTTTTTTTTTGGGATTCTTGAATTTTGGATCATGTCTGAATAAATTTTGGATCATGTCTGAATAAATTTTGTGGTTTTGATTCTTTTTTTTTTTTAAAAGCAATAATTTTTAGTTGAAAAAAATAACCATCACCTATTTTTTATTTTATAACGTAATAATCGAAAATACCAAGCTGTATTGAAAATTTGTTTATTGTTGCTTTTATTAGCATATCCAACGATACTGTCATTATTATTTTGGAATATTATTTTTTTGTGATCACTATTTAGATTATCTTTTTTTAATTTTTTTTTTTTCTATTCCCAATCATTTTTTTAAAATTATAAAATAAAATAAAAGATGTATTTATTCATTAATTTATTCATTTAAATAATAATCAATGAATTTATTTTTTAATTTAAAATGTATATATTAAGAAATAATTTTAAAAAAATTTAAAAAAAAATAATTAAAAAAAAATTTAAAAAAAATATTTTTTTTTTTTTTTTTTAATTTTTTTTTTAATTTTTTATAATTTTTTTTTTAAATTATTTATCATATTATTTTTTTATTATATAGTATAGGATCGATTATTATTTACTCCGATACCTGTTTAATTAATAAAATAAAATAACAAAAGAATACAAAAAAAAAAGCATTTTTTATTTTATTTACTATATATATATTTTTTTTACATTTATTTGTTTTTTACAATTAAATAAAAAAAAATAATAGATATTATTTCAATATATGTATATCAAAACAATAATATTCAAAATACTATAGTTTCATATATATCCCTTCTCATTTATTATTATTATAGCTATTTAACAATATAAATTTTATGTAAAAAATCTTTTTTTTATTTTTTTTCAATTTTTAAATTATAAAAAATAATCTAAATAGATAACTATAAAATAATAATAAATAATATTAAAAAAATAAAAAAAGGTGCTCAATTTAATTAATATAATTATTATAAAATTGTCACCTATTTTTTTATTTAATTTTTGATATGTTTAATTATAAAATTTATAATAATATAGATAATAATAATAATAATAAAAATAATATAAATAATAATTACAATAATAATATAGAAAGTAAATAATAATAGAAAATAAATAATATATTTTTATTTTTTGTTTTTTTTTTTTTTTTCGCCTGTACATTAATCAATTTTAGATATATATTTAAAAAAAATCTATATTAAATTTTTAAATTAAATATTAGTTTTTTTAATTTAATTATTAAAATCTAGGTTTCTAATTTTTTTGTAAAACTTGTTTATATTATAAACGCAAAATATAAATAATTTAATTTTTATTTTTAGTTATAGTTTTAATAAATAACAATAAATAATAAATAACAAATAACAAATAACAAATAATAAATAACAAATAAACAATAAACAATTATTTTTAAATAAAAACAATCTAAAAATATTATATACAACTACTACAATTAAAACAATTACTATAAAATATAAATATATACTGGATGTGCAGAGCAGAAGATTTATTTGTAGATAGAGTCAGTCAACATTTTATTTGTCCAATTGGAAAGGGTGTTATAGAGGATCCAATTGTTACACCCTGTGGTCATACATTTTGTGGTCCTTGTTTACAGGGTTGGTTAAATACTAGAAGACAATGCCCAACAGATAGATTACCGGTTACTCATAAACAATTGATCCCTAATTGGTTAGTTTTAAACTATTTATCCGAACTAAACGTAAAATGTGATCATCATACTCAAGGTTGCATATGGGTGGGTAAATGGAATGAATTAAATGCGCATTTAAAGCAATGTCAAGCCGCACTTCCGAAAATAAGATTTTGGGTAATTATTATAAATTTTATAACTATTATTTAAATTAAATAAAAACCCCATATTAATTTATTATTTTTATTTTTATTATAGTTAAAATATCATGTACCATTTGGACAACAAATTAGAGTTACTGGGAATTGCGATCAACTTGGTAACTGGGATCCAAAAAAAGCGTTTCCGTTAAAGTTTTCTCAGGGTGATACCTGGGAGGGGGAACTCATTTCAACCCAATCTGGGAGAATAGAATATAAATATTGTATATCTTATTATGATACTGGCGAATTATTATATTGGGAAGCTGGTGCAAATAGAATAGTTTTAATATCTGGATCTCCAATTTATAGAAGAGA